ACACTGGTCAGCCTCTTCTCCGGGCACCCTGATGAGGGGCGGCAAACTGCACCCGCCACCCCCGCCAAAAAGTCCCCCCGCTGGCTCTGACCAGGTGACCGCCGCCGCCTCTTTGGCCAGCTAACTTCTCAAGAGGAGGAGCAGCAGCACGGGGGGGGGGCAGAAGAGAAAATTGGTGGGCACACGGGGGGGTGCCAGAAGGGATCCTCACCTAGGGTGCAAAATAAGCTGGGGCTGGCCCTGTGGAAGAGCCAGGTCTGAATCCCCACTTGTCCCATGGAAGCTTGCTGGGTGACCTTGGGCGAGTCACACTGTCAACCTAACCTACCCCACCACATGGTTGTTGTGAAGATTAAAATGGAAGAACAGAATAATGTAAGCTGCTTTAGGTTCCCATTAAGGAGAAAGATGGGGTATTAATAAAGTAAAATAAAATAAGTGAACAAACAAACAGGGCAGGCAGAACAGCAAAAGCAACTGTTTCCTGTTCGGGCCTTGAATATTTTTTCAGCTGCTCAGGGATATATTTTGTGTCACAATGAAACAGAAATCACAGGCAGCAAGCTTATGTATACATACTTGGCCAAGTAATTCAATGAGACTTATCACCAAGTAAACATGCATAGGATGGTGCTCTTAGTCCCTACAAAGGTCCATGCTTGTGCTCAAGCTAACTGCTCTTAATGGTTTGATTAAGCAGCAGAATTTTGCACGTAAATAAAACTGATCAAACATAGTGTTATCCTTCAGTTCTGGTACCTTAAATGGGGTCATCTGACAAATTATACAGTACATAAAGAATTGTTCAATTTTTTTACTATTAGTATGATAATTAACCATAGAATAACTTACCATTATACAAATTGCTTCTCACTTTAAAACAGAGTTTTATTACAAAATGAAAAAGTTAGGAAAAGCATCTAAGCGTAAGACTCATTCTGATTCATGAGAATGATGCCTGCATCACAAATTTCCTAGATGCCATCAAGAATTCTAACTAGCTAGTTCCCATTTTCATATTGGCACTCCTCGCATTCTGGGTCTAATAGTCAAATGTTGCTTAATATTTGGAATGTTTTAGGTAAACTGCTGAAAAAATGGAATTACTGTTTCTGTACAGCCTTCCAACCCCTACAGATTATCGGCTTTTGGAGGCTGTTTCCCAAAGATTGTAATCCGGATGACAGACTTCAGTTCAACTGTTAATCTTTTTCTTGAGATGGAATTCTTACAGTGCAATCCTAAACAGAGTTACACTCTTTTCTGTAAAGCTGTTTAGGATTGTGCTGTTAATACACATGCAGCTAGAAGCTATTGCTAGTAATGTTTCATTGACTATGTTTTCAAAGACTGTGTTTTCAAATTTATGAATTTAAAAAAGAAAATTTCAACTTCATTCCATAGGCATTCTCCCTAAAATACAAATTGGTATTGTTGCCATTCTTGCATATAAAATGTTAACCAATGGAAGTTTTCAGGTTCTCTGCTTAGTGGCAACTGTACTTTCGCAAGTGTGCAGGGAGCATTTTTTTCTCTGCTACAAAAAAAGCCTGTCACTTTTCCACATCCACTTACCTGTAATTTTGTATTATATTTATATGAAATTTCCAGCACTTATACTAGGACTGAAACAACTGGAAACAGATGTTTAAAATCCTAAACAAAATATCAACATTCCAAATGAATACAATTAGAAATGCCACAGTAATTTGTTTGGGCTCAATTTTTTAAGCCACTGATGCAGACAGCGAATTTCAAGTCTCTAATCACATGAGCTCCTAAAGAACTGATTCAATATGACTGCTGTTTATACTCTGCTCTGTTTCTATCATTTCAAATGTTGTGTTTTGCTACCCGCTGTTGTTGAATACTTTAACTTCTTTATACAAGTCTGGTTTTTACCCGTGTGTATTTTTAATTACTATGTTCTGAGCAGCCTTGGATATTTATAATAGAAAATGAGAGCTATAAATATTTTAAATAAATTAAATTAATAAATAAGAGTGATAAAGAATATAAGAGAACAAATGTAAAGAAAACAGTCGTGAGGGTCTGACCCACAGATCAAACAGTCAACAAGACTTGCAAAGAAAATGCTTTCTGTATATTATGGTCAAAAGCACTACAACACAATACAATAAACAAATACCTTCAAATCATAAGAAAATTCTAGTGTAAAAATACATCATCAACATCGTCTCTGGATTATATAACAACATTTCAAAATTGGATCTTCCTCAGGAAATAATAGAGTAGTACAAAAGCTCCCTTGCTCATAAAGTGCTTTACAAAAAAGTCCTGAAAGATAATACATTCAGATAGGATGCTGATCTCAGTAAGTATTCAGGCTCAAATATGCTGCTAAGCTTCTAATGGATCCCAGGCGTCTCCAGAGACGACATTGATGATGTATTTTTACACTAGGATTTTCTTATGATTTGAAGGAATTTGTTTTTTGTATTGTGTTGTAGTGCTTTTGACCATAATATACAGAAAGCATTTTCTTTGCAAGTCTTGTTGACTGCTTGATCTGTGGGTCAGACCGTCACGACTGTTTTCTTTACATTTGTTCTCTGATTAGGTCGTGATTGTCCACATTTGTCTTATAAAGAATATAAGAACATAATAGCCCTGCTGGATCAGATCCTTCTAGTCTGGCATCCTGTCCTGCTCAGAGAGCAATCGGGGCATAGAGGCTAAGGCCCTTCCCTGCCACCTCCCAGCACTGGGATTCAGAGGTTTGCTACATCTGATTATGAAGGCTCCCTTCAGTCACCCTGGCTAGTAGCCACTGAAAGACCTCTCCTCCATGAATCTGTATAACCCCTTTTTAAAGCTATCCCTGCTCGTGGTCATCACTACCTCTGCAGTAGTGAATTTCACAATTTAATTACTCAGAGTATTTTCCTTTATCTGTTCTGAACGTATTTCCCAACAATTTCATTGTGTATCCCCAAGTCCCAGGGGAGAGGGAGAAAAAGCTCCCTTGATCCCCTTTCTCCAGCCCATGCAAAATTTTAGAAACCTCTATCAGGTCCTCCTTGGCCTAAGTTCTCAAACAGCTGGCTTTGATACTGACTCCAAGGAAGCTCTTCTCTTACAGTGATTTAAACAGAGAATATGTGCAGAACTTCTGCAGTGGCCACACTGAGTTGAGCAACTTTCTTCCTCAAAGTCAATTTGAGGATTAGAACTTCACGTCTAGTGTGAATGCATTTGGTGAATTTGCTTCTCTCATATTACTTTTTTTCCTAATTAACTCTTTTCTTTATTGTTATACTGATGAAAAATATATCTTGCTAAACAATGAACAGTTGTTTCTAGTGGAACAAACTCTCCCAACCTAGAGAAGAACAAGAATAACAGAAGTCTATTTATTTGTTTCTGTGCTCTCAGAATTGTGCAGACTACTGCAAAAGCCCATGAAAGCATTATGCATGGGAACACAGATCTCTGGAAGATGTTCATGTGTCCCGGAGCTCAACTGAAAGGGGTTATCCTTTGACAAAGACGCAGTCACTAGGAACTTTGAATCCAAGCAAGGACCTTCTGCAGGGCTCTTGTCAGGGCTTTCTTGGGGAGGGAAGACATGCTGGAACTCTCAAGAGGGAAATGACGTTTTCAATCTGTATACTGCAAATTCATAAACTTTAAAATATTTTTAAAAGAATTTTGTTAAACAGGTTCCGGAACTCTGTTCCAGTGCATTCCCCCAGAAAAATGTCCTGGCTCTAGTGTGTATTGCATCTAGAAGGAAACAATCACCTGAAGATGACTCTGAGAAAGGAGCCATAGCAAACTGACCTGCTGAGTCCCAATAACCAGAGGCATGTCCTTTATCCTATGCTTCGGCTCATAGGAAGAAAGACTCTGACAAGCCTGAGTAGCAGGTTCTTTGGGGTGGTGGTGGAAGGCCTGGTGCCCGAGTCCAACTAGAATAAATCTCTTTGGTACTCCATGAAGGAGTGAAGCTGTAGGGTCAACAGTTAAAGTTTTTAGCTGCTGTCCAGACTTTGCGGCCTAAACTCTTCATTCTGACCAGATCTGTGTATTCTTGCATCAGCCCATATCACGTAGCTTGACAGCTCCACTGCTGTTTTAGCAGCTGTGACCTGGTTCCCAATCTTTGCGAGATAAACACCTCTTCTACCTTAGTAGTACTCTGAAACAGAACTCTGAGCTTCACAGAGTATTGGTGGCAATGTTCCCTCTAAGCTGTGGAATCTTGTGAGCAAAAATTCTACTTTGTGAGCCACTGGCATTAAAGTTGTGAGCGAGCGATTTGGCTTCTGCATAAATCAGTTTGCTCTGGAGCCATCCTTCCTGAGCAAAGTCAAGAATGTGCGAGCTGGAGGCTAAAAAACTGTGAGCTAGCTCACACTAACTCAGCTTAGAGGGAACATTGATTGGTGGGAAAGGGATAAAGATCCAGATTTAAAAGAATTATTGCCATTGGTTTTACTGAGCCTTGTCATTTCCAGTTGCTAGGAAATTATAATGAAATGCAAAATATGAACTAGCTATGGATATCAATAGTAAGAGCCATCTTCAAGGTTTTCTCCCCTCCACATCTGGCACAGCAGGGAGGGATGTAGGCATATCCTGCACAAATTTGGTCGTGAATTTGTTGTGTTGTGAATTTGGTCGTGAACCGTAATAAATCTAACTGACATTTCAGTCTGCAATTAAAGTGTTAGTTGTTTAACCAACAGATCAAGCTGATTCAAATTTACAGTCCTTGTAATTATGAATTCAAATAGTGGCCACTGTTTTCCATTTAGTCTAAAGACTGGGAAATGCGCCTTGTTAAGTGAACAATCTTCAAAGCCTAGCCCAGAGGCCTAGTTTTTGAAGGCTGCATTCCTGGATACTATTTCTGAGCAGAACTCACAAAGAAATCAGCTGACATCCTATGTTCCATGCAAAAGAAGAGTAAGAAAATGAGCATGTGAAGGTAACAAAATACTTCCTATTTCAATCATGAAATATATTGTACTTACCTACAGTAATAGAGGACTCACAGTGATAGTAGCCATTAGGTTGCTTTTTTTTGATCATTGAACAAAGATCCAGACGATTAAGGAGTTCATCTCCAAAATAATGGCTCTTGAAGTTCTCGTACAAAGCTGGGTCAATTCTTTTCACTCCCTTCAAATAGCCAAAGAAAACCACAGGGTCAAATTAATTATTATTAATACCGTAGTAGTAATAATCTTAGGAGTACAGCACTTGCACTGTGCATCAAAATGTATTGATTTTAATATTTCTTTCCTATGTTCCTACTGAACATTTCAACAAAGTGACATTTTAAAATAAAACTGCTTGATTGTTTGGCTAACGCCATTTTTGTAGCAGTGGTGTAAGCTCTCAAACAGCATTGTCATAACCCTTTGTTCTGTGGTATCTGTTGATAATAGTACAGCAGATCCGGGAATGGAAACCTGTTAAAAATTGTGGATTGCTTTCATGGATGCCTACCAGTATATCACATTCATATACTGCCAGCATTGGTGCAATTTCACTGGTGTAATATAAGCAGCAAATCATACAAGCAGAACTATTCAACATTACTATGATAAAATGTTTCTAACTGTGTCTATTAACAAGATATTATGGTTGTTATAGTATATGCAAAAAGTAGTGCCAATATCTATTTCTGAATGATAAAAGCAAATGAAAGAATAAGACATCAAGCCAGCCTTCAAAATCTAAATAATACTCTGGCTCAATAATTATTCTTTATACTTTGCAGACTGACAATTTAACATGTATTTTCCTTCAAATTTTAGGTATACATGAAGATAAATTTTATTTGAGTATTTATATAAAAGGTAACAACAGAGAGAGGCTATTATCAGTTCCTTTAAAGTCGCATTATGGTATATGTCAAACAATAGTAACAGATAATCACACTGTTTTTAAAAATCATACATTTATTTACTTTGAGGAAATTTAATGGATACTAGGGTAAGGAATAAGCAGTGATCACAGAATTTGGTCATAAAACTTTTAAGACCAGATTTCATCATTGTTCAACATTTTACTAGGATAAGGAATAAGCAGTAATCACAGAATTTGGTCATAAAACTTTAAAGACCAGATTTCATCATTGTTCAACATTTTATTTAATTACTGAAATAGTACTGCCATCTAGTGGTTAGTCATTGAAACGATGTGTGTTCTGTTTTCCCCCGTATACACTCGCTGTGTGTTCACACATAATGTACAGAGGACAAAATATAAATAATACCAGCAAAGTACCAGATCACACAGTGAGCCATTAAGAAAAAAATTAAGACATGTGACACATCTAATCCACAGAGGAGGATCGCAAGCATCACAACCCTTTTTGAATTTGAAAGGATTATGCAACTGCTTTCAGGATATATGTATGAAGTCTCTTGAGTCAAAACCTTGATTCTACCCTTTGACAAGCTGGTTTTGCATCACAGGGAGCATTTTATGTGGGGGAGCATTCAATATTCAATCCCCCCCCCCAGTTATCTGAAATGGTACCACCCAGCAACTGACCTCATGAGGAGGTTCTGCTTTTGCCTAGGAAGCACTTACTCAGGCAATTTTTGTTTGCTTGGGAGAGGAGCTGGGATGTTTTGTGGAAGAACATATGGGAACCTCCTTCACATCAGTGAAGTGGTCCTTTGCTCTGTTTAAAGGGTGTTTTTATATCCCTGCGTTATTCTATATAAATTAGCTAAGAAAATTAATTGACCTAGAAACATAGAAAAGGTTTTTAATTTATGACCAACAATCCATATCCATTACATTCATAAACTGGCGATTAAACCAAAGTACTTATAAGACATTCTTAAACAATTCCTTAGATCTGTCAGCCTCTATATCTACGTCTAGTGTGGCCTGCTAATAAAGCTCTTTCTCAGGATGAACGCTGAGGAGCTGCCTAGGAAAAAGGGGAACCTGGTACCTCAGGCCCAGCTCAGTGTGATCTCCTGGAGATGTGGAAACTAAAAGAAAAAAGACTACAGCATACAAT